TCCGAAGCATGGTGACTAATGACCATAACATACCCATAAAATGATGTTGAGCTTATAATTGAATTTGATAGGGCATCTGGGACATGGCTTCGTCGGGATTCGGTGAAATTTAGGCCTTTTTATATTTTATAATACATACATAATCACTACGTAGATTGACTTCAAAATATTTGTATTTACAGCTTAACCAAGTTGGATATCTTGAACAGACAAATAAAGAAACTGATCATATTGAAACTTTTACATGAATACATATGTGCCAAACTAATGCTATCATTCAAGTAACTCATTGATTACTGATGGTAGAGAAGCCAAAAGTGATGATGGAGCCTTCATATCCAATGAGTCTCTCTGTTCATCAGTCAAGGCAGAGATAAAGAGAGGATCATAACAGTTTGATGGCAAACCACGACACACAGCAGCGGCGGGATTGACCAATGCTGCTTCAAGTCGGCATTGATCAAATCTTTGACTTGCCAAAAGAAGGGTACTTGTCTCCAACTTGTATTTGAAAGAAACACGATTGATTTGATGTAGAAGGCTTGTGTATTGTACGCTGCGCCACACCAATCCTTTAGTAGGATGTTGGATTGCATCGGGTTCCCATTCAGTGTCGGAACAACAATCAGAGCTCGGAAGAAGATCTGAAGCTTCTGGACATAGATGACGATCCACTGTCTCTTTTCGATAAGTAAATAACTGATGAAAGAAACAGAGATTCAGTATCAGTTTGAAACCAATAGATAAAAGTACATAAACTGACCTGTCTCTTTTTTCGCTCTCGTTCTCTGAGTAATAATTTTTCAGGCCTGCGGCGACCAATACGGATCTCTTGAGAACGCCCTCGCATCCATCGGAGCACTAGCCCAATGCAAATAGGTACAGTGGCATAGGTGGGATCGATACCTTTTCTTTTGAAGGCGCCTTGACTTTTTGCGTAGAGCCAATGTTTCACTATAAAGAGGGCCATTGTACGATTCCAGAGGCTGCTATCTAAGTCGTCCCAATTGAATGTAAATCGCAGAACCCCGTGATTACTCAAATCAAGAAGAAAAAGTTCTTTAAATTTGGCAAGATCTTCCGCCGTGCCGTCAGTTGGAACCGTTTGTGATTGAAACACTTGGTGATCTGATAGTAAGTTGGATTGTTTAGGTGCACGTAATTGGCCAAGCTCTTCGTGATTCGGTTTCATTGGATACACTGGGTTTTCCTTCGTAAATCCCAGGAGAAGCCTTGTGAATGCAGCAATCGAGTGACTGATCCTGGCATTGGCCTTTGGAAGAGTCTGGGCAACTGAGGCATTTGATGCCTTCAGCGATCTAACTGGAACTCCCTTCTTCCAATTGTTCGATGGCTTCAATCCTCCGGCTTGGAGAGAACAATAGATTGCGTTAAAATCCAAGCAATAGGCTGGTGGACAAGGAAAGTTTCACTCACCCATTTTGGATTTGCTCAGATCAATCTAAGGATATTTGGCAGTAACGATAAAATCTAAGAGGACTGAAGTAGTTGCTCGCATGAATCACATATCATGTAAGGTGCTTGATTGTAGATTCTTTGTGATTTGCGATTGAGCGATTCGAAAGAACCTTTCATCAAAGGAGTACAAGCAAATTATCTAAAGACCATTTGTAAAAGGATAATACATCAGGATAAACCCCACTGAGAGTGTTAAAAGTCCCTCTGAACAAAGCTCAAACATGATGAAAGGGACAAATCAACAGCTGAGCTATGAAGAAACCTGGATGAATCATAAATTGATCAAGAAAACCTGGTTTGCTCGCGTCGACGCATCAACAGGAAACGGGCTTGGTGATTGTTCTGACATCGTAGGCTTCATCTCCACTGGAGCATGAACACGCCTCTCCTCATTTGCAGCTAGGGCAGCTCTTCCTGCCATTCTTGCTACACGACAGGTAGCCTAGGATCAGGGGTCGCGACAAGCCTTTCAACAATGCGCTTACGTCGGGCCATCCAGAGGATATCCTCGGCCGTTCTTGTGGCAACACTTCTTAAGACGAATGTGTTCCTAATTCGACGTGGTACGTGTGTAGACAATTGATAACTAGAGAGGAAAAGGGAAAGCCAAATGAGTTGGAAAGGGTTTAATAGTGAAGTACTAACCTAATGATGAAATGTCTTCTCCATCGATGTCGTCATCAGACGACGTACTTGGGTTTTTACGACCTTTCCCCTTGTCTTTCGGCGGAGAAGGTCTCCAGGATCCGTCTCGTTCCGTGTCTGAGGATCCTCTCATGTTTGGGCCATCCAATACCTCCGGTTGTATCTCTTCGCCGTTGATATTACCTCCGGTTATCAATAGCTCATCTTCTTCCTCTTCCTCCTGAATTTAGTCATCTCTATTCTTCCTCTTGTAACTTCTCTTCGGATTTTCTAGACTTGGGCCTGGTTCCACTCCAGTTGCAATCGAAGTTGACCTTGTTAGCCTAGCTTCTGCTTGAGCGATTCTTGCATCCATCGTAATAGATTATATTAAAAATTTTTTCCGAATGTGTTCGAAAAAAGGAGATGAATTATCTTGGTTGAGATTAATTATAAATTGAGCCTTGACGTTGTCTTGCGAGGTGAAAAAGGTTTTTGTTGAGAATTCTAGGATTCCAAAATGAAATTCTCAACTTGGTTGGCGCAATTTCTCGTGCGCGTGTGCATGCACATTTTCACCTCCGCTAAGTCACCGTGGGCATAGGAACCACTGCGTGCCTTGCGGTTCCCTCAAACCACCTGTGGCTTTTTCCGACTCTAATTGGGCTGGTTGTACAATCACTCGTCGTTCTACTTCTGGATACACATTCATCTTCAATGGAGGAGCAATTAGTTGGCGATGCAAAAAGCAACCGACTGTAGCACTCTCTTCTACTGAAGCGGAGTATAAAGGTTTCTTAGATGCTGGACAAGAAGGAATGTGGGTTCGGCGGCTTATGTCTGATTTTGGTTACGATCAACTTATATCAACAACACTTTTTGGCGACAATCAAGGCTCAATAGCACTATCTCGCAATCCCGTTTTTCACAGTCGTACTAAACATGTCGAAATTCATTTTCATTGGATCAGAGAGAAAATTCAGGATAAAAGTCTGGACATCAAATTTTGCTCTACTAATGATATGATCGCTGACATTCTCACTAAGTCTCTCGACAAGTCTAAACTCCAACAATTTAGGAGAGATCTTGGTTTGCTTGAAGACACAGTAGTTTAGCTAACGAGGGGGGGTTTCGTAGTTAAATCTGGATCAGCCAATTCTATTCTAGTTTTGACCAGATTAATCTCTTTTTCTTTGTTGCGCTAAACACTTTTCATATTTCATTTTTGACCGACTTAGCTTAAACATTTGAATACAGACTTGAAAGGCAGCTCATTTTCTACGTACCTGATGGCTTATGGATAGAGATGGAAATGAAATGGTTTGGACTAAGATGAAACAGTAGCGTGGAATGTGTGATGGATTTGTAGGCCCTTATGAGACTTTTTCTGTATAAATACCGTCTTTGTATAGCCTTGTATTTCTTTCTTCACTTACTCATCTCGCTATTTCTGATTTCGTCCACAACCTTCCTAAACTTTCCACTCTCACATCGTCAGGTGTGTATTCTCTGCTTGTTGTCGATAATTCCAACAAAGCATTATCTTAACACTAGCGCTTTTAGCCCATATTTTGGTTTTTGCCACTTTCTGCCCCTTCCAGATTCAGGAGCATACGAAAGGTCAGTCTATGCACTGCCAGCATAGATGCCTCGGGTTGAGAAATCCGAGGCATCATCGGAGGCAGATCCTCCGACAAACCTTGTCCGAGGTATTTGCCCAAGGTATTTTTTTGCCCTGAGAATTACCTCGGATCAAAACCTCGGGAAGCTTCTGTCCGAGGTTTTGCATCCGAGGATACCTCGGATTACAAAATCCGAGGTAAATATGTTGGTGGTGATGTAGACAACTATAAAAAGAACAGAATCTGGTTTCACAACAGACACCCCTCTTACAATCATAGAACACATACACACTTGAATAAAGAATGATATTGCATCAAAAGCAGAGTAACAAATACTTTGATAAGAGTAATGAGGAGATGGTGGGACAATGGTAGTACAACACTGAAGGATCAGTGCAGGAGAAGACGACATCTGACTAGAATGAAAGAAAGATACTGAAAGAGAGGAACAATTTGGTCGGTCCAGTGGATGGAAAGTGTCTCGAGGAATAGTCCTGGGATAGCTTTGAAGGAAGTGTGCTTATTCAAAGATAGACTCTAATCCTGACATTGAAGCATCATTTAACGAGCTTTGGCGAAACCGACAGCGTTACGGCCGAGGTCATAGACAGTGTACCACTTTCGGAGGAAAGTGTCACCGATGATCCATAACTCGCCAACGTTAGGGGGCATCTGCATTGGGTGAAGAAACAATTGAGTGCATGTAGTAGAAGAGTACGGGGAAAACAAAACTTACATCGAGGCCAGAGAAAGATGAGATACAGGTGCCTTGAACCTGTAAGATGTAATCTTCAGCGGTGATAGTGAAGTCCTTACCGGCGAAGGTGAAGGTGAGATCAGGCAAAGTGGGGATCTTGTCACAGTCAACAGTGTATTGTCCAGACCAGCTCTTCTTGGCTCCGAGTGATGCGTTGATAATCTCGGCAGTATCGGTAGGTAAGGCAATCAAAGAGGTACCTACGTAGCGTCGCCATGTATTAGAACAATTTCAGCAACACGCGAGACGCCATGTGGAAACTCACCAGTATCAATGGCAGCACCAACGTTGACCAACTTCATCTCTTCTTTTCCAAATCTGACACCCTCAAGGGCGACTTCCCAGTAACCACGACGACGCACGGGTGCGTAGTGGATGTCACCCTCATAGTGAGCTTCATCGATACCACCAAAGATGGCCTCACCACCCTGGTTATCAACACCACTTTCGTGAGAGGTACCGAGATAGAAAGCAAAGACAGGTTCGTCCAAGAGACCTTGTTCAATCATCTCGTAGAATGGTGGGACGGTGTGTAAGACGGAGATAGTGTCATATCCAAGACCGAGCTGCAAATTGCAAATGAATGGAAAGTTCAGCAAGATTGGCAAGCTGATGGCCACCTTCTTAAGTAGCGCAAGATCAAACGTACGATTCCGTCAAACTTGCCAAAGGCAAAAGCCAAACCAGGCTCTTTGGTAGACTCAGCAAAGTCAGTGTCTCGAATCTCGAGATCACCAATCCTAACCACATCGTTACTGATGACACCCTCGAGGGAACCTGATCCATATCGAATTTGGAATTCGGTTCCATTGGCTTTGTAGGATGAAGAAGCCTCGCAATCGTACTTGGAATGTAAAAAGCACGCGATCGAGGTACAGCGGGTGGAAGGAACCCATAAATTTGAGGACTGTGACGATAGTGTTCAAGAACTAATATCAGTGGCTGGCATATCAAGTCAAGACGAGTGAGCTGCTCACCCCAGTGTCCAAGATCACTTTGAAAGATTGTGGTGGAGTACCAATGGTGATCTCAGAAAAGTATTGAGCGTTCAAATAATCTAGAGGTGGATGGTGTCACTTATATGGGATTATGTGATGTCAAGAGATAAGCGACTCACTGCTGAGGGGCACATCATGGTTTATAGCCTCGAATTCTTCTTCTTCGATCATTTGGATGTTCATCTCACCCTTTTGACCTTTTCCTTGAGCAGGACGACCGTATCTGAACTTGTTTTGAGCAAATCCATTACCGTCGAGGTCTCCAAAGTACTTTTGAGTGAGCCAAGCAGCTTGAGATTGTAGATTGTTGAGTGCAGTCTGAGAGTTGAAAGAAGAAGAAGCTGGCATTTTGTGAAGTTTCATTTTGTGTTTACCAGCAGAAGTAGCAGGAATGGTGACTGCCAAAGCAGCCACAACAGCTGCAGCGGTTGACTTCATGGTTGCGATGTCTTAACTAGTAACTTTCAAGAGAGAAGTGAAGATTGTTTGAGATTGAGAGTGGTTGAGCAGACGAGGAGATAAGGGATTGAGAGGAAGTCCTAGTAAAGAAGGTCGATATGGAAAGGGGCAAAGGGAACTTTATAAATCAAACTAATTTGAATTAAATTACATACAACATTACATGTATGTACATATAGATTATCAGTCAGCATAAACATAACTATCTATTAAGTCTACGCGTTATGTGATCTGTACAGATTAACAGCTTTTTAGTGAGAGTCGATCAAGACTCGGGCGTGAGATTGAAGTTCAAATCAAGATCATGGGAGCGATGACGACGCACAAGTCACATCATGGCGCCATGGCTCGCTCATCTTATCCGCTCATCCTGCGCACAAAACCTTCCTCGATTTTTTTGAGATGATGTTAAGGCTGCGTCAGGCTGACCTTGAGTCTTTTCAAAGAGTAGAAGACAAAATTCAAATCAGGAGTTGAGCGTGACGCTTGAAAAGTAAGCACTGATGTATGTATGTAACCCATTTGACCCTCGAGGTTACGACTGAGAGCGCCCTAACTGACAATTTTTTTGGCCATCAGTCTTAAGTGTTTGGGCGGAAGAAAAAGAGGAGTTCATGTAGGGCTCCTTATTTGTAAGGAGAAGATGTGCAACTCCACAAAGGTATTACTACCACATCTTGAGGAAAAAGACAAAAAGCAAGTCACTCAAAAGCTTATTGACAACAAGGACTAGTGAAAAGGGTTGGAAAGATAAGCAGACTTTACAATTTCTTGAATCCCAAGGAAAACCTTGAATTAACTTTTTGAGCCCCATCCAAACATCCAAAGCATGCACATCTGAGAAAATCTTTGAGAAATTTATGTATTTCAATCCACCCTTTTGGTTGGTGCTGAGAGAATCATATGTTGGAAAATATATGTGTTCAAAAGCTTCCTTGGTAGGCCTCAAAGTTGCCTAGGAATGGTCTCAAGATCAGGCCAATTTTTATGTGTGGTCTCTTGAGCGCAAGATCTGAGCAGAAGATTCGAGGGAATGTTCACTTAAGGAATTTCTGACCAGAAACCACATTCTGTAAGTTTTTTGATGCCAAAATGAAACATGCACCACCAAATAGACACTTTGGAACTTGCAGAATGTGATTTCTCACCACTAATTGCTTAAGTACACCCTAAATGAATCATGCAATACTCAATGGCAACCTTAGTCTACTCTTGAGTCTGGAAATTGTATGCATTGGGGTGATCTTGAGCCTCCTGACAGCACAAACCACAGGCTCAACAGAGCCCATACCCAGAACCCCTGTGAAACAGGCCCAGATGGGAGATAACAAACAAAGGGGAAACACACATGGTGAGACAAAACACCAAATATTACCCAATCAAATCACAGAAGAAAAGCCAAAGGAGCTTGTGTGATCTTTACCAATGGCTCCTTCATACTGGTGGTTGTAGGAGGGACCACAGTGGCAATGGAAGGTGGGTTGACAAGTCATGCCTATGGGCCAATTGTGGGTGTTTCTAAGTATGAAATTGAATGAATGGCGCTGATACTTGGATGTTATTGGTCTCACATGTCATGAGTGGAGAAGATCGGATTGAACTTTAGAATCAGAAAACAGGAATTGGATTAGAATCAGAATCTGTCAATAAGGAAGCTTGTTGAGCAAGGAAATTTCCCATGTAATAGTTGATGAATAACTATTACGGGTTGATTACATATGTGTTACATATGTAGGACAGCAGTTGACAATATTGATCAAGAGAGAAATAGCAGAATAAAGACCAGATCCGTGGTTACTAACTGTAAAAGGGCTTACACGGAACTTGTAAGGGCTTTTGAAGGTTGATATGGACAGATTGATTGGTTTATGGAGCTATGTAAACTTGATTTGTTATTGTAAAGGATGAAGAACAAAATAAATAAAACAAAAGCAAGGGCTTATATACCCGTCAGAACAAGCAGAAAGTGCACAGCAACATAAGAAAAATACAACAAGGAGGCTGATGTGAACATCTCCTGTTATCAACTGATCACTGATCCATAGATGATCACATGTGATTATCACAATAAGATCTGTGTGTGCAATGATTTACTTTTTAGTATGATTGATCTTGAATTCCCATGATCCCTGATTCACCCTTGTGATTCATTCTAGTACAACCCTTCCTTTTAGCACAAGAGCCCTAGACATCCCTGATTGGCCGCCATCACACACCAAGAAGATCAGTTTTAGATGAACAGCTACTAAGTTGGGTTCCCAATCCAGTTCAGTTGCTTGAACTAGGACTACACATGGTTATTAGAAAGATTATCATACAACAAAGCACACAGGATCATATTCCAAATTGATCAGCGTATTATTTATTTATTTGAATAATGTGTATATTGTTAAATATCACATAGAAAAAGAAGCAATAGAAAATGAATAACTAGAAAAAATAACTGAATATGAAATCATAACACTGAAGGCACAGCCCAGTTTCTTGGCAAAACTGGATTAAACCCCTAAGACAAGCTGTACACTAAGACTCCAACCCCCTTAGGCTCAGCTGTTCCGGACCCCACCTCTCTTCATGGCCTGTCAAACCACTATGAATTCTAGATAATTTCTATTTCTTCCAGTTATATAACAAACCAATTTGTTCCTCTCATCTTTCCTGTTCATCAATGATATCACGGTGTTGTGGCAAGCAATTCTCAAGACTCAAGGATAGACTCAAGGACAGACTCAAGGACTTGTTGCATTTGCCAAAGAAGTTTGTGACTACAAAAGTTGTTTGATCATGGATACTACTTGGAGAGATGTGCATCAATGTCTTTCAGCTACTCATTGAAGAAACGGAGGAGTCAGGGTAAAACAGAAAACAACAACAAAAAACAAACTCCAAATTCAATTTCACAACAATCAAATTGTAAGTTGTCAATTCCTCATTTTCATAATCAACAGAATGAACTTGTCAAAAAGAGAAAACTAACAATAACATTTCTTTTGAAAGCTGATTCACCAGATCAAGCCCAATCAAGTCCCGGACGCTCATCACAAGTAAAAAAACCAATTCAAAGTCAGCCAGAATCGAATCTACATTCAGATTCACCTTCATCAGATTGTTATCGAGAGAAATCTAAAAGATTAATCGGGTCTAAAAAAACAAATTCGCACGCTTAAAACTAAATCAACGACTAATCAAAACACCAAACAACAACAAGCTCAAGAGATTGCTCATGATCATGATGAAGGTGTAAGGGGTAATAGAGAATAAGCAAATCGAGTTAAATGAGATTATATCATCTCACAAGATAATGATCTTTTAGTCGGTCTTGATCCTTTTTTAGCTACTTCTCTTGAAAATGTATTAACAATTGTTCTGGAACCATTCGATTAGATTTGATCCAGAAGGGTAGCTCAGCTATTGAACGTACTCTAAAAGATTTGATCGAGATGTACAAAGGTCAAATTCGATTCAAACCAATTCAAACGAAGAAGCCAAAGGAATTGCGCTTATGATCAATTGTATTCTAAGAGTTAGTACGGTGATCCCCTCAATAAGCTTGCCCTGATTATTAAAGTTGAATATTTGTCTTTTTGAATGAAATAGGGTTGTGGTTGCAATAATAGTATTGATCAAGATGAAGCCTTGGATCTAGATGCAGTGCCTGAAAGATTAGATGATTTACAAGAAGAATTCAAAAAGGTTAGTAAGACACTAACACTGCGCCAAATTGCAAATTTACCGTGGAGTTTAGAAAATTGAGTAGACATAGAAAATTATAGAGAAGCTGGCAAGGGTCAGAAAAATATGAAAAAATAATGGGAGGGCCCTTTGATGCATTCCAACTGTCTGGCATATTTTTTCATATTTCTAAAACCACAATGCATATAACACTACACAAAATATAATATCTCCTGGGCAGAAAATATAAAAACCAACAAACAGTGATATTGAGCAGTCTTGGAGAGAGACAAAAATACACAAAAATATGCATATTGTTCCTATGGCTGAGACCTTGGATTTGAGTATTGTTTTGTATTTTTAGTGTGCAGATTGTTGACTGTACTAACAAAAAACCTCCCAGTTTCTCAGATTACAACCTGTAACACAGATTGGAATTTGGCCAAGGGGTGACAAGGGGATATCTGGAATTCTATATCCCTCATATCTTTTGCAATTCTGGGTCAAAACACTTGATAGTTATCTGATTAGGAAGCCATGAAATGCATGTGAATGTTATGTTAATGCATCAAATCTGTAGCTCCGCTACAAAAAAACCTATTTGTCTTCGAAACAATTTCCTATATATCCACATAGATATTCTTTGGGATTAGATGCAGGTTTTTTGTCTCAATGAAAGATATAGTCACAGAGTTTGGCTTTCCAATGAGCAAAAAATCAAGTGGTCTGACCAAGAATTGACAAAGATATAAGGGATTGTTGAATTCAAATTATGCCCTCCAATGTCTGTTACAGGTTGTAATCCAACAATCCTGGAGGTTTTTTGTTAGTACAATCAACAATTCTCACACAAAAAATACAAAAAAATACTCAAATCCAAGGTCTCAGCCATAGGAAAAATATGCATATTTTTGTGTATTTTTGTCTCTCTCCAAGACTGCTCAATATCACTGTTTGTTGGTTTTTATATTTTCTGCCCAGGAGATATTATATTTTGTGTAGTGTTATATGCATTGTGGTTTTAAAAATATGAAAAAATATGCCAGACAATCAGAATGCATCAAAGGGCCCTCCCATTATTTGTTCATATTTTTCTGACCCTTGCCAGCTTCTCTATAATTTTCTATGTCTACTCAATTTTCTAAACTCCACGGTAAATTTGCAATTTGGCGTAGTGTAAACTCTAACCCTTCAAAACAATCGATTTGATATACTCCTACTTTTGTTTCTTTGTCTTTAATTTTATATGAAACTCATTTAATGAACTCATTACAAACAATTGATTTGATATACTCCTACTTTTGTTTTTTGTTTGGTTGAATGAGTTCATTTATTGATGTATTAATTCAAGTTAGTTTGGAATTCAATCGATTAAATAAAAAACATTTAGATCTTAAAAACAAAAATCATCATAATAATCGATCTG